CACTCTTGCTCAGGCTGGTCTTGAACTCACAGAAACAGAGATCTGAGCTCTAAGGCAGGTGGCATGTGGTAGCAGCACCTTTATGACCAACGTAAATTACAGAATGCTTGACTCGACACAAAAGCCTCCTGTTTCACTTTTGCTACTCTATGGTCAGACATTCGGACATTCAGAAGAAAATCCTAACTCCATCCCATAACCCGCAAGGGCTGACATGACTAGTCCTGACCCTACTCTCCAACGTCATGGCCAACACTCCCCTCCGTTCATCCGGCCCTAGATACACTGGCCTTCCGTCTAGCCCTTGTACTGCACAGGCTCGCTCTGACCTCAGGGCCTTTGGACCTGCTGCTCCCTGTCCCTGGAACACTCCTCCCCCTCCAGATCCCTATGTGGCTGGCTCCTCCCTTCAATAGGTTTCTGCTCAAATGACTGCTCTCCTACTCAGAGAGGCCTCCTCAACCCATAAAATCTAAAAATATCCCTGCACCCTGCCCCCATCAACCTCTAGCCCCTTCTACGGCTTTTGCTCTTTACAAGACTTATCACTATTTGAAAATGTATTATATATCGATCAACTGTCTGATTTCCTACTAGTCTGTAAATTCCATAAGAGCAGAGACCATGCTATCCCTGGCACATAGTAGCTACTAAGTATTTAATGAATGAACGAATAAATCTTAGAAATGACCCAATTCAATCCCTTGCCAAAGAAGGTACGCAATAAATGTCTGTGGAATGACAATGCAACTGAGACTAACCTGAGCCACACCGCCCAGTTTTGAATCCTAGTTCCACCATCTACTAGCAGTGTGACTTAAGCAAGCTTCTTAATCTTTCTATGCCCAGTGTCTTCATTTATAAAACAGGCATAATGGAATTGAGCTAGTTAGTACATGGAAGCAATTGGAATAGTGCCTGGAACACGGTAGGAGTAGGGGCTCTATCACTATTCATTCATGGGAAAAAATAAAAAACCTACTTATCTATAAGTAGTTGTAAGTATTCTTGCACCCCCTATAAACTATGAAGCTGGGTTTGCAGTAGACATGTAATAAATGCTGCCAAAAAAAAATTGCATTGATAGTCATAGTTGGTGCCTCAAATACATTGTCTTAATGATTTTATCATAGCAATAGATATTTAGAATAGCCCTTGTAAGGAGTTACAACTACATAGTTGATAAATAAATGAAGA